CACAAGAGGAATTAGGGGCAGGGACGCTGTTATGATCTCAGCAGAGGAACTTTTGGGGCAGCATCTATGGGCAGGTTTGGCCAGAGGGTTTGGAGTGGGAGTCAGCTGCTCCCAAGGAAATATAAGATGTTCTGGGTGGGCCACAATGTCTGGAGGGCCTGAGAGAGGGAGGCTTACCGGCAGGGCTGAGCACAGAGGAGACAAGCTTAGGCGGGAGACAAGCTTAGGCTGGAGGCAGCAACTACTCCCTGGAGGAAAGAGGAAGGCAGCTGAGACCACAGGTATGGAATGCCCGGGAGCCATATGTTTGAAAGTTCCCAGCTGCTTGAGTCTCCATCAAGTCTGAAAGCTGCACAGGTCATGCCTTTCTGGAAGGAGCAGCTACTGGTCTCCAGAATCTGAGAAGCCTGCTAGCAGACACCAACTTCTCACCCAAGTAACAGACTCTTTAATTATTTGCTTTAATAGGGGCTAGAGTCAATAACACACAAGGAAGCCAGGAGCCAGTGGTCAGGCACAAATCCCCTTAGATATCTTAAGTGAAATGGCCTGACTACTTTCCTTGATCAGCATATGGGGAAAGATGAAGATTAACATTTATTGACCCCATACCATGTTAAAAGTCCTGTTCTCAGTGGTGTACTTGCAAGAGCCTCATGAGGTATGGCTATGTGATTAATTAGTACACAGTTTTTGTTTCCATCCGAGCAAATAAAGGCTCAGGAAACTCAAGAGAATTGTTCGGTCTCCTCATCCTTTCCATCCTTGTTTAAATAAGTTCAAATCTCTTAAAAAAATAAATCATCTTAAAAATAATAAAAATCAAGCAAGCAAGCAAGCAAAACAAACTCTCACAACCTCTTTGGACCCCTGATCTTCCTCCGGCTCTGCTTTTGTGTCTTCCCTGTTCCTCTTTAAGAACAGCAGAAATTCAAGCATGAGTTGTGTGCCCTGGGCCTCTCCCTCACCCCACCTCATTCCTGTCCTCACCGCAGTGTGGCTGTGGTACGTCCCCCACACCCCGTGTATGCACCGAAGACACAAGGCTGTCCACACCTCCTTCACACTCTGAGGCCAATGCATGCTTCTTTGCTTGTGTTTACTTGATTTCTGCAGCTTTTGGGTTCCCTGAGCACGTCTTCCAGTGGGAAACACACTTCCTTTAAAATGGCACCTGCCTGTAATCCCGCGCCTTTGGGAGGCTGAGGTGAGTGGATTGCCTGAGCCCGCGGGTTCGAGACCCGCCTGGGCAGCGAGACTTCATCTCTACAATAAATCAAAAAATCAGTCAGGCATGATAGCGCAGGCCTGTAATTCCGGCTACTTGGAAGGCTGAGGCGGAGGGAGGGATCGCCGGAGCCCAGCAGGTCGAGGCTGCGGTGGCCGGGAGCGGCCACTGCACTCCAGTCTGGGCGACAGAGTGAGACTCCAACTCAAAAAAAAAAAAAAGTTGAAGTAATGAACACTGTAACAGTCTGTATACCCAGCCAAGTGGAGAAGCCAGAATTCCTGCCCAGCATCTGAAAGCTCTAGCAATTCTGCACTGCAGTGAGAAAATAAACACCATTTCGAACCCACAAAACCTGCATTTAGTTCTTATTCTACTGGGGCCAATAAACAACCCATTGACCGGTAGGTGTGGCTCATGGGATGGTACAACTTCAGTACTCAGAATATTAACCCTCTCAGGGTGAGTATGGGTCTGCTTCAAGGTGACACATTCAACAAACAAGAAGCTCTATCTTTGTGCTTGATTTTCTTGGGCAGATGAGTGATCAGAATTGGCGATTAGCTCCTGTCTGGCACAAAGCAACAGCAGCAAAAGAGGAGAGGGGAGGAAAGTTCCAGAAGATTGCTCAAATTGTGCTTCTAGTCCTTTTTGATATTACTATGCAACAAGTCAAGTTGATATACTGAGGGAGGAAAAGTTTTTAGAAGCTTTTGTAACAATGTGACAGGCAAATTTTACATCTTTTTTTCTTTTTTTTTTTTTTTGAGTCATGGTCTCACTCTGTCACCCAGGCTGGAGTGTAGTGGCATGATCACAATGTCTATTTAATTTAACGAACAATTGTGTTTATATTTATCATCTATTTTATAGTAATTCATTGTATTGCCTTTTGCTAAAGTATGAAAAAAATCTGTAATAATCCACACAGAGTTTAAAGGGTAGTAAAATAGACAGCAACAATAACAAAACTATTCACTAAAAGACATTCCAAGAATAAAAAGATAAGCCACAGAATGGAAGAAAATATTTGCAACACATTAATTATGAACATTCCATGCAAACATTCTATGACATGTGAATAATCAAAATCAAATTGATGATAAAAATGAACAAAAAACTTGAACAGACATTTTACATAGGGAAAATCGAATGTATTATTAACATGTGATACATGCCCAACCTTACTATTATCAAAGAAATCAATGTTACAAGCACAAGTCAGCACAGAGTTGTCACTAGACTGACAATCCTAAAAGTTGGTGAGGGTGCTGAACAAGTACTCTCATACACAGCTGACGGTCAAATGCTTTAGCAAACGCTTTGGCAGCATTCACTAAAGCTGAACACACACATACCCTGGGGGCAGCAATTCCGCTCCTAGGAACCAATAGAAATGCGCTCGCATGGGAAACCAATGACATGGATGAGAACAATCATAGCAGCATAGTTTGTGACAGCTGCAAGATGAAAACAAGCCAAATGTCCCCCAACTGCTGATCGGATACATAAATAGTGGCGTATTCATGCTATGGATAGTAAATGGCAGCAAAGACAATAAACCACAGCTTTGGGCAACAACATAGATGAATCTCACAGATGGGATGGGACCCTAGGTCTTGTCATAGTTCCTTTTGTGGGACCTGCAGGATGTTCCAGGAACAAACTGCCCTATAAATCCAGTAACAATGTGGTACTGGAGTTATCTCCCTCTATAAAACCAGCCTTTGCTTGGTACCCAGATGTCACCAGGGTCTTGGGGGGAGAACAGCCTTGTGATACTAGGAAACAACTCAGAGTCTGGCATGAGGTCTGAGGTATAGGAGTCATAAGCCCAGGTCACCTGAGGGGCTGCCTAAACCCCTGCTGGGCGCTGTGCCCCTGTCGGGGTGGGGAGGCAGGTGTGGTTGAAGACAGTGATTTCTCCTGCTGGGAAAACTCCCAAAGAGCTAAGCAGAGGGGAACTTCAGAAATCTTGAACCCTCAGGAATGTAGTGTTGATGGAATGGAGACATCTGGGGAATGCAGACCAGGTTTGGGGAACTCAGTGTCTACCCGGGGAATGCAGACCAGGTTTGGGGAACTCAGTGTCTACCCGGACGGTTTTCAGTCTCAGCAAAATGGTCAGACTCACATGACTGCCACCCCTGGAACTCGGAAGGCTCCGGGCCAGGGAGCAGAGCAAGGCTGTAGCAAGCATTCTTGCCAGTGAGAGCAGCCCCGGCCACAGTCCACGCAGCTGTCTGGGAGTTGGTTCCTTCTCACTTTTCTCCCCATTCCCTGTGACTGCTCAGGTGCAAGAAATAAGACACACTTGTGGGTGTGACTTTCAGGTGTTTAGAAGCCCTGTGTCCCACAAGAGCCCATACTTCTTGTAACAACCCACATAATAGCTCTCAGCGGTCCCTGCGAAGATCATGCCCAGACCAGAGAATCTCCACCCTCAGGGTAGCTCAGAGCTGGGCTTCCTGTCATGTGTTCATTACAGTCCTCCCAGCCCAGTTCACCCATTAGGGGTCATTTTTACCAGAAGCAATGCTGCTTGGTACCACAGCTGACATTCCATTTTGACTAGGTTTCCAGGGTAATATGTTAGAAAGTTAACCCAGGGTCAACTCTGTCCTTAGAAAAGAAGTGTAGATTTTCTCTTTTTTTAAAGGTTTGTCATAACTTTATTGTAACTTAACATCAAAGTCATATAAAATATAGAAATAAGCATAAAGTTGGTGTATTTTGTTTCTTCAAATGGTCATTAAGAATCTCAAATGCCTTGAAGTTTGCTATCTTCTACTATCTTATTGGGAAGAATAAAAAACTTTGAATGAAAATCCACTTCTTGGAAAAGAGTCAGAGTTTATGCAGAGACATTTCATATCGGTCACAGTGAAAGGATCATATTTGTTTTTTTGGGTTTTTTTTTGAGTTGGAGTCTCACTCTGTCGCCCAGACTGGAGTGCAGTAGCCACTCCTGGCCACGCAGCCTCAACCTGCTGGGCTCTGGCGATCCTTCCGCCTCAGTCTTCCAAGTAGCTGGA